AAAAAAAACCTTTCCTGCTCTTTTTTTAACCTTAGGTCATCTTAGGTTAAAAAAAAGTTCTCCCCCTAGTGCTGGAGTATGTATTAACCAGCTTTGCATTAGTTCCTATGGGAACTAATGCTTCAATGTACGAACGCACCTCTACATAACAAAAAAACAGCCAGAACGGATTAATTGGTTTTCAGTCTATTGCTTCAAAATTAGCTTCCTCAGAAGTGCTTTTAACACTGTTCCCTGACCTAAGAAAAAAAGAAAAAATATCCCCCTCTAGTGGCAGAAGGCGGAATAGCAGCTTCCCATTAGTTTCTATGGACGGAAAAGAGCAGATACGGATTAAATGGTTTTCAATGCATTCCTATGGGAAATGCAGATTCTCCATAAGAACTTTTCCACTTGAGAACCACCTTCCAATACGGATTAAGTTCTTAAGTAGAGACCCCACTGTATAATGAAAATATTCCTTTTCTTTCATAAACACAGTTCAAATTTTCTTCTCTGTTTGGTTCACTCCACCATTGTACTTCCTCCTCTGTAGTCCTCCATCTGGAGGACTAAATGTTTCCCACCTTTACGTTAATATTGAATACCCTACAGCCTGATGACACAATGCACCTCTGTTCTCTATTAGGCACATCCTTAAAACTGGGCAGCTGCTGTCTACAACAGTCAAGTCTGCAGACTCATCTATTCAGAGCCCCTAATGATGAATTGGAACATTGAGGCCCCCATTTACCTTATTATTATATACCTTAAATTGAAGAGTAGCATTTTTCATGAAAGTGCCACAGCCCTGGAACGTATAAATAAATGAATATAGATGGTGGAGGAGAAAGTTATGTTGCCCTTCCTATGCAAATGATTGTTGCTCATTCTCCCTAAAGCTGCAGATTTTGGGATCTAGAGCCTTTTAAAAAGGCAATTTTTCTAGGTTTCCCCTTAAGATGACAGTTGCAATGTGTGTTTGTTTTTGGAGGAACATCTTTAAAATAATGACCTGGGAAAGCTTTATAAGCTGCATCTACTGGTGGGGAACAGAGTAGTCCTTCAGAGTAGGCCTTTCAGCATGCAGCATTTGGAGAGAATTACAGATAGAGAATGTAATCATTCAGGATCTGATTAGCCCACAGAAGCAAGCAGCTTTGTGAACGAAGTGGATGCATGGTCTGGAATGCAAACTTTCCACATGCTTGTTTTCAGATATAAAAAGTACAGAACAAATGCTAACCTCTCCAACTGGTTTAATTAATGATGGTCTCACATGAGGAGCAATATGGCTAATTCCTGTTTGATTCCTGGAAGCTTAAACAACAGGAGCATCATCTTATTGTTTCTTCCAACAAGAGAGCTAACAGTGATTCCTCCCTTACAGTGATCTTTATAACTGTATATGAGACTGTGACTGCCAACCATCACATTCGTTTTCAAAACAGAAACATGTTAGAGAGAAAAAAGCTCATAAAGCCATTTACCGTAGCTTCGTTGCACTCTGTGCATTTGACCACATGCTGGTGAAGCTTCCCTTCCAAACTGATTAGTGATTGGCACACACGGCAGTTTATTACAGGAACACCACTGGCATCTGGGCTGGCAATGGCGGTATAAGGTGGCGGAAGTTCTGCTGCAAAATCAGATGAAAAGTAATGTATATCAAAATACTGTATGTAAATGGATTGAAAGTACAACAGTAATAAATAGGGAGCAGGTTGTAGATGTCCTGAAAGGATACAAATTATTTACTGTTTAGTCTGTTGTTACCTTCTGTCAGCTTGCATCCAGTCTATAGTGACCCTAAAAGGGTGTGCAAGGTATGTGAAATGTTTAAGGACTGGTTTTACCATTACCACCCACTGTTGAGTTTCCATGGCCATTTAGGGATTTAAACACGTTTCCTGAGTTCTAGTCACTCTATCTGCTATAGTACATTGATGTAGATTGCAAAATAAATATGGGCAAAACATCACAGGGCCATTTACACAGTGAACAGGCAATTAGCCTGCCTCTCCAAGATAAAAATGAGAACACTCTGACCAAGGCAGAGACTTCCCCAGAATTCTAGAGTCATTCCTCAATCTGCTTCATTTAATGTTATCCTTTTTTGGGCCTCTAATCAACCCCTTCAAAAGGTAATGTGAAAAGTACCATACAAAATAGGGCTGCAGAGGGTGATACAGTGGTGCCTCGCTTAACGGGCACCCCGTTTAACGACGAATCCGCATAGCGATGGCTTTTTTGCAATCGCTTTTGCGATCGCATTGCGATGTTGCCTAAGGGGAAAGGCATCCGGACCCCCCTATCCTGCCCTTGCCGCCGGGAGCTGCGCTGCGCCCGCCTATCCCAGCCATGCTTGGACTCCCGGGAGTCCAAGCATGGCTGGGATAGGCGGGCGCAGCGCAGCTCCCGGCGGCAAGGGCAGGATCCACTGAGAGCCTTCCGAGCTCTCAAAGGGCTTTCTCCAATGTCGGGGGGAAAGCCCTTTGAGAGCTTGGAAGGCAAATGTCGACGGTCAGTGGTGGCTTTGGGGTCCTTCTGAAGCCACCGCCGACATTTTTCCCCAGCTGAGTGGTGGGGCTCCCGCTGAGCTGGGCAAAAATGCCCCTTCCGAAGGGGAATGCCGGCGGTGGCTTCAGAAGGACCGCGGGGGAGCCCTCCCCCGCGGTCCTCCCAAAGGCCCCATTTTCGGTCAGCTGATTGGCAGTTCCAAAATGGCCACCCGCTGTGTTGCCTTGCTTTAGAGGCACCGGAAATGGCTGCCCCTATGGAGGATTTCTGCTTAGCGGTGAGTTTTCCCCCTATAGGAATGCATTAAACAGGGTTTAATGCGTTCCTATGGGGTTTTTTTGTCCTGTATAGCGACAAATCCGGATAGCAACGATTTATCCGGAACGGATTATCGTCGCTATGCGGGACATCACTATATATTGGATTCACTCATTTGTTAATAAGAATAAATCCTTGACTTGATCGGGTTCCAGTTCTGGTAGGATATGGTAGCAGCATTTATCTTTGCTCTTCCGCTCTTTGTTTTTATCTAACTCCCCTTTTTATATAGAGTTTATAGCTCAATAGTTTTATCTAACTCCTTTCCACATAGTTTTTACTTTATTTTTTGATATAGAGTTATTTAGCCAAGCTTATTATTTATTTTTACATCTCTGACTGTGTTTTTGCGCCCATGAGTCCTGGGTACTACCTGGAAGTTGCTGTAAGAATTCCAAAGACTCCAGCCTTTTAATCAAGAAATATTTTTACTAACCCAAAAAGGAAAAGAGACACCAGCTGAACAGTCTACCCCTGGATTGTACTGAACTTCCTGCTCAAATGGAGACATTTCTAAAACATAGGAAAGGGTAGTTAAACAACAGCTGGGAGACAAACACGTGAATTGGCAGGAAAACAACAGGAACAAGGGAAGGGCCTCCCAAGAAGACTACAGAGAGTACAAACAAAAACCACAACGGGGGAAGAAAACAGGGAGTTATACCCTACTAGTTCCTACCTGGATTGGTCTTTGGACCTTAAAGGAAATCTAAACTGTTACAAAGAAGAATTTGGCAGTTAATTTGGCTAGTGAACTGTTTCCTACAGAAAATATGACACCTGGTCCCATGTTAATGGAACCCTCTGATAAGACTAATCTGTCAGGAATTGAAGAAGCAACCATCAATATTAACTCCAGATGGAGGGAATATAACTAAAGAATTTCCAATACAAATTCTGACACCAGGTAGAGATTATTTAGTATTTGAAAGCTGGCTTCTGTACTTAACAGAGGATATACAGCATATGAAATCCTTCCTAAATGAATTTAACAAACTTTTAACTAGATGTGGGTATTCACCTTTGTATATGAATACAAATATCCCCACACAGATGGACTTAATGAGGGGCCAGTCCCTGCACTCATGTGTTTGGTGGTGGCGGCAGCCTTGTTCATCCTTCCAATCACTCCTGGAGCTCTGCTCTCTTCCTGCTCGCCTGCACACTCTGGGCAGTGGGAGGGAGGACAAGTCTCCCTGCATGGCTGCTGAGTCGCTAGCCAAGCAGGAAGACAGCAGAGCTCCAGGAGTGACTGGAAGGATAAGCGAGGCCACCACTGCTGGACACATAAGTGGACGGGCCAGCGCCTGCCTTGTTAAGTCCAGCTGTGCGTAGATACTAGTATTTGTATACAAATATGAATACCTCCATCTTTTAATTACCCTGCTGGATATCTGTAAAAAGCTGTCGCTAAAATCCAATATAGAGGGCACCAACAGTAGACCTAGTGCAGAGAGAGCTACCACTACTTCTGTGGCCTGTAAAAAGGAATGTTAAAAAAAAGTTACTAAAAGGGGTATCACAAATAATAAGAAAAGCAAAAATGTTTAAAAATCCTTTAAAAACTCAATATAAAAACATGCAGTTCAATAAGTTCTTTAAATTACTGGATAGAAGCTGAGCACAGCAAAGTGTTAATCATACTGAGAAGCCAACTGTAAATAAAAAAATCATACCCAGAAGAATATGTTCACCTCTCTGGCAAAGCAGAGAGGCCTCTGCTTTGCCAGAGAGGCCCATGCCTCACAGAAACCTAGAACCTTACAGGACAGGATCATAACAGATCATGGCTGGAAACTAGTCTTGAACAGACAAAAGCTAACAAGGCTAAATATTCCTAAGCCAGCGGGGTTTACACCATGATACAAGGATAAATTGTACTTCCTAAATCTTTTAGAAACTCCTTTTTCCGGAGCTTTTACCTTAGCTGTCCTGTTATCTGTGGAGTATTTATATTTCAATAGTCCCCATGCTCGTGCAGTGATCACATTCACAAAAGGGAATCCAGCTGAATGGCTGTATGGACGTAAAGACACAATGACTGAGATGGACATATCTGTAGTAAAAGTTTTTAATAACTGCTGCACCCTCTGCCACTGGAGCTTTGTACCTCAGATTATGCTAAAAGCCCTCAAGTGAAAGAAAACTATAGCACTAATTTAATTGATCTGGACACTACTGAGACTATTGGGGAAAATTTCCACCAAATGGTATGGAGTTGGTAGAGAATGATCCACAGCTGCCAATGGAGAGGGCGAAAGAACCCACAGAACCCTTGGAATCTGATGAGAAAAACCTCTTAGATCCCTTCCATGCTTTACTTTATGAAGTACAAAATGACATAATTATCAGATTTGAGCTTTTAAAGGGCCACCTGATAAAAATAAGGGCAAGGAAGGGTGGATTAAATTATGACAAGAAACTCCAGAGGGACACCAAACACTCAGAAACAATAGAGCAATGGAGTAAGTCTAAGAATGAGGAAGCTGCTGATTCAGAATCTCAGAGCAGAAAGACATATATTTATTTTATTTATTTATTTGATTTATACCCCGCCTGTCTGGGCTACCAGATACGTTGCAATGTCAGCCACGTGAGAGAAGAAATCCTCTACTGAGCAAGACTACCCTAGAGAATATTTTCAGTGATGACGCCCCCTACTTTAAAATCTGCAATAGCTGTTTCTTATTAGGCCATAGAAAAAAGAACCTGATATAAGAGAAACAGGCTCTTCTGAAAGGAATCTAGAGCCTCAGAGTGGGAAGATACGTACTACGTGACATCAGGTCATAGTCGAATTAAATCCCCTGTTGAATAAACTTGCTCCAAAAGGAGTTCCTAGTGAAGTGACCCCAACTCCAAAAACAGAAATTATGACTTTATCTACCTGGACCTAAATGAGAGAACTAGACAAGTTGGAAATCAGCTCCCCTGAGAAGGTGAGCTGCTCATTTAACCCTGTCTTTCCTGTGGTGTCTAATGTAAACAGGTGGAGCCCATCAACAGAGCTGATTGAACCTGCAGAGGAAGATACAGTTTCTGTTGAGCCATCTAGGGGGAAAGACCAGGTTCCAGAAAGAAGCCAAGCCTCATCTAGTGAGAGAGCAGTAGCCTACTGCTCTGATGCAGAGACTCAAGGGAACAATTTTCCAACTTCCTGGCATGCCTACCTAATGTGGACAAAATAAGTAATTTTCTCAGAGTGATACCCTCCTCAACTCTGCTGCAGGAAAGAAAATATTCACCTCAGATCCATCTGCCTCTGAATGACCCTTAATCCATCAACAAGCCCTCTCGCTGACATTTCTTTCCTGGAACACTGCAGGCTGCCAAAGGAAGGCTGCAGGCCCCTCTTTTCAAAAGTTTACCAGGGAATATGATATAGTATTTTTCCAGGAGACCTGGGAGAGGGAAGAGTTGGAGCTGGATGGTTTTGTAAGTTATTTATTAAAAGCTAATCCCAACTCCAGACTAAGGCATTCTAATAGAAGGGAGGTCTTGGGATCCTGCTTTCAACTAAGCTTCGAGCAAGCACATCAGCTTAGTTCCATTACCCAATACTGTATTGCTATTTCTCTGGTGACCCCCTGTAACTTCTATGTGATTGATTGCCATGTTTTGTTCTCAAGATTTTCTTTGTTGATAGTTACAGTTTACATACAATCGTGCTCCAAGAACATAACTATTTTATATATTTTATTTTATTTTTTACGTAGAGGGTGACAAAGGAAAAGGGGAGTTGGGATTTGTAAGGGAAAGGGATTTGTGAGGGAGAGCGGAAACCATGATATACTAATATCCAATCTATACCTATTGCCATATCTAATCTGAAATCATTTTATTTACTCTTTTCTGCCTTGTGTATAAGGTTCTCATTTCACTATATATATTTAGCTACTGCCTGTTGATTCAGTCCATTTATAAAATAAGTCCTGTCTTTCTGTTGCCCTTTGCAAGGATTGGTCTTTCATAACTTCTGATAAGATGTCAATTTCGGCTATTTCCCGTATCTTTTCAATAAGATCTTCTTGTTCCGGCACCGTCGTACTTTTCCAATTTCTAGCATACATAATTCTGGCTGTTGTAATAATATATATAACTATATGTTCCTTTGACTTATCTATGTTATCGGGTATCATGCTTAATAGAAACAATTCTGGAATTAGTGGTACTTTACAAAGCAAAATTTGTTGTAACATAACATGTACTCTTTTCCAATATTTTTTCGCTACCCCACACACCACATATGATAAAAACTTCCCGTTTGTGTTTCACATTTCCAACACTTATTTGATACATCAGTATACATCTTTGACAGTTTTTCTGGGGTCATATGCCACCTATAGAACATCTAATAAGAACATAACTATTAATAACGTCTGGGCTACTATTGATAATAACTCTGTAGAACACCTTGAATCCTTATATCCTAAGGCAATATTCATTATTGCAGAGGATTTCAATGAACACTTAGGTGCTAATGAGGAAACTTTATATCCCCACTTTCATTGGGTTATTAGATTCAGATGATTATATATTGGGCGTAAGTTGTCGACAATCCAAAGATAAAATATGGAATTATGCACGATATTGCTTTACTCAGTTCAGAAAAAAGAGGGATCTCCTAATATTAAATGGCTTTGTGAAGCGAGACGGTTCTGGAGAATGTATTCATTTCAGTAAGAGGGGTGGCAGTGTGATCTACATAGCAATCTTGCATTCTGCATTTTAATATATTGCCCAATTTGAAATTGATTACGTATTACAGAAAGTGATCATTTGTGTCTGGCACTGACACTAATACACCCTCCTTGATTTGAATTACAATTGTACTCCAACAAAAATTTAGA